AAAAAAAAAAAATTATAAAAAAAATAATGAAAAGGCTTGTTTATTGCTGTAGATTGTTGTTTTTCTCTTTGCTGCCACTGCCTGCCCTCCCAGCTTATTCCTTGACCAAACTCCTATGACCAAATCCCAGGAGTTCTCCAAAGACAGGTATTTCCCAGAGAACAGGACTCCAGACTTCCTGGTGGGCTGCTCCTGGTCCTGCTGTTTCAGTAGACAGTGGGAGAGCCAGGAGCCTCCCTGGGCTGGAGGTTAGGAAGGCTTCTGTTGGTTCCAGGAAGAATGGTCCCAGGGAGGCTGGATGGTCACCAGCTGTGTTTTTTATCAATTCTGTTACCCAGAAAGGGTTAAAGGGGATAGCCTTTTAACCATGTCAGTCAGAGGGGTAGGAGGGTGGTTGAGAAAGGGCATATCCTCTCCTTTGTTTCCTTTGCCAGCCGGCCAGCATTGTTAAGCTTGAACCAAACTCTTCCTTTCTCTAACCTTCCTCCCTTCCCTGCCCTGGGCTGCTTGCCAGAAAGGCTCAGGGAGTGCTTCCTCTTCCCCTTGGCACCCCTTATAGAAGTCACCAGGCCTATTTTCCTGTCATGTCCTGGTTTCAAACAATGTCCTTATGAGATAAAGGAACAAGGTTAGTATGGAGTGTGCTTTATTGTATGCTGGCTCCCCCACCAGGGTAAATGTTTTGTATGCATTATTTCATTCACTCTCCAAACCATTCTATGAAGGTACTACTGTTATTTTTTTTGCAACTCCCTCTTTATAGAATGAAGGTACTACTATATTAATAATCCCATTATTCAGATCAGAAAACTAAAACACAGTTGGTTACGGTGGCTCACGCCTGTAATCCCAGCACTGTGGGAGGCTGAGGAGGGAGAATTGCTTGAGCTCAGAAGTTCGAGACTTACCTGAGAAAGAGTGAGACCCCGACTCCTAAAATAATGAAAAACCCAGCTGGGCACCACGGTGAGCACCTGTAATCCCAGCTGCTTCCAGAGGCTAAGGCAGCGGGATGCCCACTGCCTGAGTCTGAGGTTGCAGTGAGCAATGATACCATTGCACTCTGTTCAGGGCATAGTCAAATGTTCTTCTCAACAAAAAAAGAAAGAAAACTGAAACGTAGAGAGCCAAAGTTACTTGCCTCCTGTAAGTTGCAAGTGATAGAGCCAGGATCCTAATCAGGCCTATGTGACTACAGGCCTGACCCTGAACTACCCTTTATCCTAGCACTTGTGAATCTTCAGACACTTGAGTGCTGGCAGGAATCCTTGCAGCAGGAATCTCATCCAGCGTCAACTACAAGGTGAACTGCAGTGAGCGCCACCAGCCAGTCAGGACACTGGCAGTTAAAGGAGAGGGGCTGCCCCTTTGTCTCTGGGACAGTCAGCTCAGCTCCAAGTCAGTCCTTCATATGAGAATATCGGGGCCTCTCCTAAATTTGGGAATTGACCAAGAATGTACAAGCCTGGTTCAGATGCTCCTACATAAGAAAGGGTCATGTTGCTGACCCAGAGTGGCACTTAAGTTTTAAAGGACTATTCTGTTTACAAAGACAGGTTCCCAAAAGTGTTGGGGTAGATTGCAGCGGGCTCAGTGTAGAGCTATTTTTATGAGAATGCTGGGTTTTCTTTTCTTTCTTTTTTTTTTTGTTTTTTAGAGACAGAGTCTCACTTTGTCGCCCTTGGTAGAGTGGTGTCATCACAGCTCACAGCAACCTCCAGCTCGTGGGCTTAGGTAATTCTCTTGTCTCAGCCTCCCTAATAGCTGGGACTACAGGCGCTGCCACAATGCCTGGCTATTTTTTTGTTGCGGTTTGCCCAGGGCTGGGTCCAAACCCTCCACCCGTGGTATATGGGGCCAGCGCCCTACTCACTGAGCCACCCGAGGCTGGTTTTCTTTCTTTCTTTTTCTTTTATTTATTTATTTATTTATTTATTTATTTATTTTTTTGGTAGAGACAGAGTCTCGCTTTATCACCCTCAGTAGAGTGCTGTGGCATCACACAACTCACAGCAACCTCCAGCTAACTCCTGGGCCTAGGCAATTCTCTTGCCTCAGCCTCCCGAGTAGCTGGGGCCACAGGCACCCACCACAGTGCCCAGCTATTTTTTTTGTTGCAGCTGGGGCGGGTTTGAACCTGCCACCTTCGGTATGTCGGGCCGGCGCCCTACCCACTATGCCACAGGCGCCACCCCAACGCCGGGTTTTCTGAGGGCATTCCTCAGACCCCAGGTTCATGGCCAGAGGCATACATCACCGCCATCCCTCAGACATCTTTACCATCCTCTATCTTGGACATCAGAGCTGGTCAGTCCCGTGCCCTGATGCCTATGGACAAGAGAACCAAGAGTTCCTGGTCCTTAGGTGTGACTGAACCTGCAAATGGTCCCAGGCTTGTCCTGCAGCGCCCCCTCCTGGAAGAAGGCAGCAGGATCTCCCCAGACCTGTTTTCCGGAATCTCAGGGTACTACCAACTCTTCCTTGGGGGGGGGGTCAAAGTAAAGTTTTTACAGGCCAGTGAAAATGCAATTAGCATTTCCCCTGGGATACAGCAACCTGAAGAGAACTTGAAAAAGGCTGTTGCTTGTTCTCTAACCTCCAGCCAAATCTAGGCCTCATTTTCACCCAAATAGTCGCAGCTGCTTTCTCACGTCACTGTCCCGGTGTCCCCATTACCCATCTGCCCTTCACACTGCTACACAGGTGACCTCTCTAAAATGCAAGGCCAAAATTCCCCTGTCTACTTGCCCCAGCCTTACTCCACCTGGCCTAATGGCCATGCCCTCTGCTTTAGCCCTCCTTCCTGGGGCTGGCATCTTCCATACCCTCTGCCTGGAAGATACCAGCTCTCCCCAGCAGTCAGTTTGAAGTCTGCCTGGTCACCTCTTCTCACCTAGGTGAAGTGGCAGCCACCTCCACTGCCCTTCAGTGTAGCATCTATGTGCTATTTTCTGTCACGTGGGTTACAGCTGTCTTCAGGACTATCCTGTGGACTCAAGGGTGTGTCACTGCATCACATCCACCTAAAAGCCCTAATGAAAGATGCCAAAGTAAGAAGACTAAAGCGAAGAGTGGAGGAAGCTAAAGAAAGGGACAAGAATCCGAAAGGCTGAAGCCATCTGAAATCCACAATCGTGTGGGGCCCCTGGAAATAAGGCCTGAAGGTCGTTGGAGGGTGAGGTGGGCAGGCCTAGGTGGCAGCAGTAGGGTGAAAATCAGCATGGTCTCAGGCTGTTCCCTTCTTTGAAGGGTCACTCAGATGCTCGTAGGCCCCATGCCAAGTGCAGAGTGAGGACATTTATTCCTCTTTCTCCCTACAAACTTCTCTGTGGTGATTTGACCACTGGTAGCTGATACTATCCACAGGGACCATGCAGAAAGAATCTTGTCCATAGGGATGGGCACAGATTCTTCAGAGACAAGGGCCCTTCAAGATCACTGAACTCGACCTCACTTAATGGCTGAAGAAGCACAGACAACACCCTGGGACCTGGGAGTCCCTATCCTCTTCTAAGTTGTGCAGAATCTACGCTAGGTGCTGCCTGGTCCAGCAACAAGCAGGGTGCCCCGAGTTTTCAAGGGCACGCGTGCATTAGCAAGGTATAGGGGAGAGAGAAGAGGGGCATTTTAGGCAGAGGAAGCCCCGTGTGCAAAGTGAAGGTAAAAGTTGGATGGAGCCTGGCCAGGTACAGTGGCTCACACCTGTAATCCTAGCACACTGAGAGGCTGAGGTGGGAAGATTACTTGAGGCCAAGAGGTTGACACCAGGCTAGGCAATATAGTAAGACCTTGTCTACAAAAAGATAAATTCAAAAATTAGCCAGAAACCACAAAAAAACCCCAACAAACGAACAAAAAAAACTAGTCAGGCATAGTGGCACACGCCTGTAGTCCTAGCTACTCGGGAAGCTGAGACAGGAGGATTGGTTGTACTCTAGCCTAAGCACCAGAGCAAGACCCCAACTCTTACAAAAAAAGAGGAAGAAAGAAAGAAAGGCCAGGTGTGGTGGCTCACTCCTGTAATACTACCACTCTGGGAGGCTGAGGTGGGTGTATTACCCGAGCTCACGGGTTTGTGACCAGCCTGAGCAAGAGCAGGACCCCCGTCTCTAAAAACAGCTGGGTGTTCTAGTGGGCACCTGTAGTCCCAGCTACTTGGGAGCTGAGGCAAAAGAATCACTTGAGCCCAAGACTTTGAGGTTGCTGTGAGCTATGACACTGCAGCACGCTACTGAGGGTGACAAAGTGAGACTCTGTCTCAGAAAAAAAAAGGGCAGAGTGGCTCATGCCTATAATCCCAGCACTTGGGAGGCCAAGGCAGGTGGACTGCCTGAGACCAGAGCCAGACCCTATCTCTAAACAAACAAACAAACAAAAAATAGCCGGGTGTTGTAGCGAGTGCCTATAGCCCCAGCTGCTTGGGAGGCTGAGGCAAGAGGATCACTTGAACCCAGGAGTTTGAGGTTGCTGTAAGTTAAGATGCCACGGCATTCTACTACCAAGGGTGACCACAGGAGACTCTGTGGCAGGTTCGGCCCCCGTAGCTCAATGAGTAGGGCGCTGGCCACATACACTGAGGTTGGTGTTTTCAAGCCAGCCCGGGGCCTGCTGAACAACTATGACAACTACAAGCAAAAATAGCCGGGCGTTGCAGCGGGCGCCTGTAGTCCCAGCTACTTGGGAGGCTGAGGCAAGAAAATTGCTTAAGCCCAAGAGTTGGAGGTTGCTGTGAGCTGTGATGCCATAGCACTCTACCAAGGGCGACATAATGAGACTCTGTCTCAAACAAAAAAAGGGAAAAAGAAAAGGTGTGGCTTATTGGTCAGAAAATTACAGGAAACTGCCAAAAACTTCTAAGTCAACTAGGGAAAAAGCAGGGTGACATCATCGGGGGTTTAGGCATATTAGTGTAGCAGGACCACAGGATAGATTGGTGGGCTGGGGACCACAGCAAGGCTCATCCTCGAGTTAACAGTGGCCTAGGCAAGGGTGCTGACTGGGATCCAAGAGGTTCTCAGCCTGAGAGGGTAGATTCACTGGTCTTAATGCCTGATTACCTTTTAGGAATCAGGGAGCAAAGCACAGGATGGGGTTTGGTATGACACCAGGATTCTTGCTGAACAATTATGTGGATGAGGTAAAGGAGGAAAAACAAGTCAGAAGGAAGGAAAATTATCCACTGAGTTTGGAATTCCCTATGTTTGAGGTATCTGAGAGACACGCAGGAGGGCAGGAGGCAGCAGGATGCGAGGGTTTCCCAAGCATCCAGCAATGTCCTGCTCTTCCAGACTTGGCCACTGGGCTCCAGGGAATATTTTCACTGTCACCACCACCACTATCCCCGTCTGCTCTACTCCATGAACAAGGTCTGGTCCTGGTGTGGTCTGTCAATGAGTAGAAAACATTCCAAAGCTGCTTAAACAGGCAAATGAACTCTGCCACCTCAGAGAGGGATCCCAAGTGTTGGTCATCTCAAGGTCAGACCAAATGCAGGGCTAAAGAACTTGCTTCCATGACCTGACTATTTTCCTCTGCCCTTAGTTTCCTCTGCTCACCTCCCAGATTCATCTACAGCCCTCCTCCTTCCCCCCACCCCCACCCCCATACCAGTTCACTTAGATCTGAGCTGTTGCCCAGGAATCTAATTTGTCAAGATCCTGGTGATCCAGATGATTAGTCAGCCTTCAACCCCTGCACTGGTGAATCCACCCTTCTTCCCAGCCTCAGTCTCACTCTGTTGCCCTCTATAGAGTGTTGTAGCATCACAGCTCACAGCAACCTCCAGCTTTTGGGCTTAGGCAATTCTCTTGCCTCAGCCTCCTGAGTAGCTGGGACTACAGGAGCCCGTCACAACGCCTGGCTATTTTGTTGCAGTATGGCCAGGGCCAGGTTCGAACCTGCCACCCTTGGTATATGGGACCGGTGCCCTAATCACCCAGGCACCACCCTATTCTTTCTTTCTTTCTTTCTTTTTTTTTGAGACAGAATCTCACTATGTTGCTCTCAGTAAGAGTGATATGATGTCACAGCTCACAGCAACCTCAAACTCTTGGGCTCAAGCGATTCTTTTGCCTCAGCCTCCCAAGTAGCTGAGACTACAGGGGCCCACCACAACACCCGGCTATTTTCTTTTTTTATTGCAGTTGTCATTGTTTTAGCTGGCCCAGGCTGGGTTCGAACCCACCTGCTTAGGTGTATGTGACTAGCGCCCTAACCACTGAGCTACAGGGGCCAAGCCCCAGCCTTTTTCTCAATTCAGGCATCATATTTGGTAAATCACAAAGCTTAGAAAAAGAAAAATGTTTATTTCCAATGAGCTCAAGACCCCAAGTGGTGGCAGGTGTCAAATTCCCCCTTTCCACCCGAGGGCTTGGGTCTATAGGTGGTTGCCCTGCTTCAGGCTTGGCAGAGGAACCACCAGTGAAATGAGACAGTCACTTGTACTGAGGAGAGAGGGGAGGGACAAGTGGAGCAGCGCAGACACTCAGCATCTTGTCAATGTCCACCTGGGTTGACTTATCCACCTCGGCCTTGAGGTGGCCAGTCACCCCAAGGCTGGACAAATCCCCAGGCTCCTCTCCAGCCTCTTCTCCTAGGGGAGCCAGAGCATGGGTGGGGGGTACTAACATACTGGGACAGGGCAATGCAAGGCCTGAGCCCAGCTCACCTGCCATGGGCAGCAAGGCCTGCAGTTGCTCCACACCTGCCTCCTCAGGAATCAGGGCCAGCTCTGACTCAGCCTCCACCTCAGCCTTGGCCACCTTGTCCCCCTCCATTGCCTGGTTCAGTTCAGGGTTGCAATAGTTGATGTACTGATACAGAGGCCGTAGGCGCTGGGCCTTTCCTGCAAGGACAAAAAGCAAAGCAGGAGCTGGAGCACCGGGCTATGCCATGTTGGGCACATCAGGCAGGGGGAGAAGGGAAAGCCCAGGGACTGCCACTCACGCTCCAGGCCCAAGGCCTCTGAGGGTGCAGATACTGTGCAGGCCACAGCTGGGAGCATGGGAGCCCCCAGACTCTTGCGCTTTTTGGCTTTTTTGTGCTGTTTGGCAGATGGTAAAGCCTCACTCTGGCTGCCCTCTGGCTCCTCCTTCTGCAGTGGCAGCCCCGGTGGCAGGTCAGCTTCAGTCCTAGGATAGGCATGGTGGCTAGGCCCTGGGAGGCTAAGGGACCAGAGCCAGGGACAGGTGGCCTCAGGAACCAGTCTTCAGCCCCTGGCTCCTGTAACCTGAACCTAGAGAACAGACCTACCTATCCACTACCCTGGGGCTACCTACCTGTCCCTTGCCTAGTCAATGAGGGCCCAAGCCCAACAGTGGCCAAGAGCTCATGTGACCTCAGTCCCTTACAAGACCCTGAGGCTCCACGTCTCTTTGTGCTCCCTACATGGGGCTCTTGAGGAACAGAAGAGGTGGATGGTGATGGTGGTGACAGGAGACAAGAATGTGACCTGCAGGACTGCAGGATTTAGGAATTCTACTGGAGTGTAAACCCCACCCCCACCTGCAGCTCCTTCCTCATGAAAATCTCCTTACTTCACTGGCTTCCTCTTCGGACAATGGCTGGGCCTCACAAGGGAGGCCGCCGGCCTGGGGCTTCTCTCCTCTGGTGCCTCTCGCTCTGCCTTGAGCCTCTCCTCCTGCTTGAGTCCCTCCTGGAGCTCTGGCTCTGAGGCTACACCTGTTGGACACTTGTCTTCCCCCCGAGTCTGGCAGGCTTCATGTGCTGGCACCGGGCACTGGTTTCCTGTTACTAGACACTAGAAGTGACACAGGTAATTGGTCACTGTGGCCAGGGAAAGGACATAGGGATCAATCATTGGATGTTCAACATTGGTCATCAAATACTGTAGGGCACCAGACCACACGCCTCCCCTTCTAAGCCCAGGTTGGCAGTTAAAGTTCAGCCCCCCAGAGCGCCGCAGCTAAGTGTTTGAAGGCTGGACAGCCAGACATCACCTCAGAGGTCTGAGGGCAGCCACTGGGCACCTCTGGGAGCTGTGGTGGCCCCATGGCCTCCTGGGGCCCTGGCTGCTTTTCAGCCCCTGCTGAAGCCATGGCAACGCGGAGTCAGTGCATCCTCGAAGCTGCTTGAGGGGAAAGGAGGGTACCGAGGGGCTGGACTGGTGGCCTCCGCGCTGACTCTGGAGACTGGCTGGGAGGGGAGTTGATGGCAGGGCTGGCAAAAGAGACTGGCGGCTGCTCCGCCCACCCTCAGCTGAACTACAAGTCCCAGAGGGCCTTGCGCTACGATTATTAACCCTTAACCTCGGGGCGGAAGCCACCGTTGCCTAGCAACAGCAACTCCAGTCGTTGGCGGCAAAGCTGTTCAAGTGAGCCCCTGCCCGAGCGTTGTGGGGGAGGGGCCGCGAGCTAGAAGGGAAGTGAACCGGGGTCCGACGTCTCGGAAGCGGCAAGTGCAGGCCGTGGCCCGGGGGCGGGGAGGGGGCCGGGAATGGAGGGCACAGCCAAGGTTCAGGTCCGGGTCCAGGGAGGAGGCGCGTGGCTGGGGGAGGGGCTCCGTGGTGGGAAGCGCGCAGCCAGGCAGGTCTCGGTGCACCGCTGCAGGGCGCGACAACGGCATGTGCGAGGGCCCGTCCAGCATCTCGGGGCCCATCCCCCCAGACCCTACTCTCTGCCCTGATTACTACCGGCGACCCGCCTCCGGTGAGTTTTGGGGTGCTGCAAAGGTGTGAGTTTGGGGGATCGGCCCCCACTTCACCCCTGAGCGCCGCACTCCACTCGGACCCACCCCACCCCGCAGCCTTAGGGCGCCTTGAGGGAAACGCACTGAAGCTCGACCTGCTGACCTCGGACCAGGACCTGGACGCCATCCCGTCCCGTAACCCCCGAATCAGTCCGGGAGCTCGAGAGATCTTGGAGCGCGGCCGGCAAGGCGTGGTGGGCGTGCTGTTGCAACTCGGAGACATCTCCCTAGGTCCAGGGGCCTCTCTCAAGAGTAAGTCCTTGGGAGAAGGGGCAGCAAGGGAGCTGAAAACAAAAGCAGCCCTCTTTCTTCCGTTACTCGGGCCCAGGCTTTGTCTCTCTGAATCTCGGTTTCCCCAACAAGAAAGGAGGAGAAAATATTCTACCTCCTCGCAGGAGTGGATTGAACGAAGATTGAATGAGGTAGTCCCCACCAAGCCCTTGCTCTGCTTTCTGTGTTTATGTCAGTGAAACGCTTTTTGGATGCCTATGCCTACTGTGTGCCAGGCCCTAAACAGGGTTGACAGGATGGGCATCATGGGGTTAGTGTGGGAAACAAGAAACAAGTGTTGAGACAAATATAATATATGAGATTATGAATGGTCTACTTTACTATAAAATGTAGAAAATAATGAGATGTGTGTATTTACAACGTAGGGAGGGGAATAAGGTGATGAGTAGAGAGTGTGTGAGGGTCTAACTTAGATGGAGGTATCAGTGGCTCTTTCTATAGGGGGCAGGGTGTTGGATTACATGGACCTTGTGTGCAGCAGAACCTGGCAGCATCTTTTCCCCAGGGAAAGACCCTAAGGACTATGAGAAGGAGAACCTGAGGCGGATCAGGGAGATCCAAAGACGCTTTAGAGAGCAGGAGCACAGCCGGGAGCAGGGCCAGTCCAGGCCTCTGAAGGCTTTGTGGCGCTCACCCAAGTATGACAAGGTGGAGTCCCAAGTCAAGGCCCACCTGCAGGTACCTGCCTTACCAGAGCCAAAAGTATTATCTGTCCATCTTGTTGGCCAACAGGCAGTTATACCCTGATTTGAGTTATGGGAAGGGAGGAACAGCACAGAGGACTAAGAGACACCTGGCTGGAGTTGGGGAGTTTTCTTAGAAGTGATGATGACTGAACTGATCCTGAGGAACAGGCAGGAATTAGTCAAGGGAAGAGCGGAAGAAAACATTCCATAGAGATGGACCCTCACAGGTAGAAGTCCTGAGACCAGTGAGAATGGGAGCAGTGGGGATGTTAGGTCCAGTTTACTATGAGGTCAGAAGAGCACAAGGTTAGACCAAGAAGGTAGCTGGACCACCTAAAGGACCACATAAGCCAATTTTCAACCTCTAGTGGTTGAAATAAAGGACAGTGGAATGGGGAAGGGTGAGGTATAGCTGAAGTCTTGGGTAGATATTGGTACCATTCTTTTATGGTGGAGGACTCAGGAGGAGCAGTGAGAAAAGATGAGGGCACATGTGAATGTGTTGAGGCAGAAAAATTTGTGGGGCTCGGCTAGGCGCCTGTGGCTCAAGTGGCTAAGGTGCCAGCCACATACACCTGAGCTGGTGGGTTTGAATCTGGCCTGGGCCTGCCAAACAACAATGATGGCTGCAACCAAAAAATAGCCATGCATTGTGGTGGGTGCCTGTAGTCCCAGCCACTTGGGAGGCAGAGGCAGGAGACTCACTTGAGCCCGGGAGTTGGAGGTTGCTGTGAGCTGTGATGCCATGGCATTCTACCCAGGGTGACAGCTTGAGGCTCTGTCTCAAAAAAAAAAAAAAAAAAATTTGTGGGGCCCCAGGGAATGGGACTGTGTCTAGAAGTGGATGGACATTTGAATCTGGATCTCAGGAGTGAGATCCAGGAGTTATGACAATCAGGTTGATGACAGTGAGACCAGGGAATTACCTCTAGATTTGAGGCCTTGGAGATCAGCCATCAGGAAACTTGGAGGCAGGGCTATAGCCAGGAAGCTTGGCTAGGAAGGAGAAGAGAGAGTGGTAGCTGGACCAGGACTGAGGTGTCCTGGAGGAAGAGAGGTGGTTTATTGTTTTCTTAAAGATGTGAGACTCACATATTTACGTGCTGATGAGAAGTACTCCTTCAGGAGGGAAGAGGTCATAGGGATGGAAAGGTCCTGAGGAATGGCTTGAGCCCAACAATAGAGCGAGACCCTTCCCCTCCCCCCGACAAAAAAGAAAAGAAAAAGAAAGGTCCAGAGGGGCAGGAGGGACAGAAGCATGGTCTTGGGGCTTCAGACCCTGATCTCAGCTGTGACTTATCTCTGTTGTGCCCTGCCCTCCAGAAGTCTGGCCCTGCCTCTAGGACAGAGTCTGCCCACTACCTGCGGGCCCACTCACGTTGTGGTCCTGGGCTCCCACCAGCTCGTGTCCCTGGTCCCCAGATAACCCCACCAAGTCCTAAAGCTAAGGTGAGAAAATGTGTAGGGCAGGGATCCAGGAATGTGGTGGGTAGGGCTGCACAAGCACAAACACAGTACTGTCTGTCCCCATCGTGTTTGCCATGTCTTGCAGGGGCCAGGCCCAGGTGTGGACTTCATTAGTCACAACGTCCAAGCTGCCAAAAAGGCCCCCCGGCGGCATTCCCGCTCACTGCAGGTCCTAGCGCAGGTGCTGGAGCAGAAACGGCAAGCCCAGGAGCACTACAATGCCACACAGAAGGGCCATGTGCCCCGTTAGTAGGTGCCACTACCCAAACCCAGGATGAGGGGGTGTCTGTGAATGGTGGGAACCAGCCTCTGCCCTGGGGTCATCAACCCTGAGCCCATGCCTCTACAGCTTGTTGGAGCGCAAGGATCTGTGGCGACGGGAGGCTGAGGCCCGCCAGCAAGCCCAGCCTGACCCTGCCATGCCCCCTGGCCACACTCGCATGCCAGAGAATGAGCGACTTGAGACATTGAGCAATCTGCTGCAGAGTGAGTACTTGGACAGGAGTGGGGGGTGGCTCAGGGACCCCACTGGGGACCATGAACCCCTGTCCAGTACTCACCATTCCTGGGCCTCCTGCAGGCCAGAACCAGCTGCTGCGTGAGCTGGTACTGCTGCCTGCTGGAGCAGACTCGATGAGAGCCCAGGGCCACCGTGCTGAGCTGGACCGGAAGCTCGCGCAGATAGAAGAGGCCATCAAGATCTTTTCTCGACCCAAAGTTTTTGTGAAGATGGATGCCTGAGCCCTTTTGTCAGGGTGGTGGTGGGAGGTCCACATAGAGGATTGCCATGTGACTGCAGAGGGTCAGGTCGGGCTCCATCATAGAGCAGATGTCCAACCAAAGACAGGAGCAGTGTGGTGGGCAGTATCCCCAGAGCACTCTTCCCAGCCACCAGTGGCTATAGAAGGACCATCCCAAACTTTTAACTCTTTCATCAAAATTAAACCTTTTGTACACAGTGGAGTTTGTTTCTGTAAGAGCTTTTCTTACCCTTAGAAATGCCACATCCAGTGGCCCTCCTACTTTTTGACTGCAGGAAGGTCTCATTGTTATTATTCTTGCCTCATGTCCAGAGCAGAAGGCAAGCTTGCGGGGTGAGAAGAGGCTGGGGCTTCAACACAGAAGTACTATGACTGCATTTATAGAAAACCTTTAATGTTCCCCCGGGTGAGAGAGCCCCGTGGGCAAGCTAAAAACCCCCCACTATGAAGTTCCTGCCATGTTCCAGCAGCCTGGAATGGCAGATGGCTGCATCTTTGCCTGTCAGAGGCTAAAGCCACTACCGTCTCCTCGCATGCTATTCCCCCAGCCAGAATTGACTTGCTCCTGGTCATCCAGGGAGGGCATAGAGCTGTGGGCACCAGGAGGTAGACAGCCAGGATGTAGGTCCCAGTATGGAGGCTCCTGAGACAGCCCATTGGGACAGGAAGGCTGTCGGTTTTCACTGACCAGGTCGCTGCTGTCTTCATCGCTGTCAGGCTCAGGCCCAGGCCCTGCAGAGGGAGGCCTTATGCGACGCCCAGATGCCCCACGCACCACATTATTACGCTGGTTGGCAGGCTTGACAGTGACGATGAGGTTATGGCTGTTGGCCACCATCATATCTGTCACTTGGTCCAAGGTCTTCCCAGCCACCTCAATGCCATTGACCTCAAGGATCTCATCACTAACTGCCAGCAGCCCTGTACTCTCAGCCAGGCCCCCACGTACCAAGCGGGATATGAAGATGCCTGGAACCCGCTCCAGGCCCTGGGGAGCCACACGTACACTCATGCCATCTCGGATGTAGAAGCCCAAGGGGCGGTCTGAACCATGCTTGTGCAGCCGCACTCGTCGGTGGGTCTCTGGCAGTAGGTCGACGTCTATGACTGAGGAAACCTGGCGGAAATCTTGGGGCAAGCTGATTAGCAAGGGTGGCCGGGTGCGCAGAGGTGCCACTGGCCTCAGTAGGAGCCCTTTCTTACGACGCTGCAGAGAGTTGGAGGCAAAAGCCAGGCCGCTGGAGTCAGCTGCTGCTGTAGAAGAGGGGATGTGCTGAGATCAGAGACCCTTCTCTTCCCCTTGGGCCCTTTAAGAGGGCACTCTACCTATGTCCTACCACTTGGAGGTCAGGCCAAGGGCAAGGAATGCAGAGGGTGACGCTTGGGCACCCTGCATATAAACTAACCCATGTAGACCTGCCGTCACCTTACCCCACAGAGGTTGCCCACTCTACCCCATCCTTCTCACCCCGCTTTTGCACCAGTAGGCGCAGTGGCGGGGGTCCACTGGCCAGGGCCCGGTGCAGGCTGTCGTCGTTTGTGAGAGGCAGCAGGTCGCCGTGAGCATCCGTATAGCCAAGTAGCACGTCCAGGCCTGGAATCTGGTGCACGGCACGCAGCAACCGCGAGAACTCCTGGAAGCCACTCACCGAAGCGCGGGGTAGCGCGAAGCGTCGGAACTCAGCATCAAACTGGAGACCAGAGATGGGGGAAAAGGAGGAGTCAGGACAGAACCTGTATCCTTTTCTCACCCACAGGTCCAAGACTGGCAGAGGTGGGAAAAAAGGGCAGCTGCAAAAGCTTCAGCTTTAAGCCCAGACCTCAGCTCCAGTACAAGGGACTCTAGCCAAGGTCTTCTCCCCGCCCTCCAGGTACCTAGTCCACAGAGGGACTCTGGAGGCCAGCAGTGGAAGGAAGAAGGATGGATGAGGGAAGGTGAGTAGAAGAGGAGAATGGGATCTGGATGATGGAGGAAAGAGGTGGTGGGGACCAAGGTGCCAGGAAGGGAAGAGGGAATTGGGAGAGCCTGGGGCTAAGGCTGGGGCCGAGGCCGGAGGAGCCCTTACTTTGCTCTTCACCTCGACGATGCTATCGGGACTGCGCGCCGGAGTCCTCTGCGGCCTGGCCATGGCGGGACCGGGCGGGCGGAGGGACAAGCACTAGCCTGCCGGCCGAGGCGCAGGTGCACAGCCCCGCCGGCCCGCCGGTGCCGCCCCGCCCCTGATGATAGCACTAGTCCCGCCCCACATCCAGACCATGACGTCAAGAGGGCAGCGACGTAAAGTGGACCGCGGAGTCCACGTTTCCTAGGAAACGGAGATGAGGGTGGAGAAGAGTCTTCCTCAGCTCTTACGTCATTACGCTATGATCCGCGCTTCCCCGGAGTCCGGGGGTGGAGGGACTCGGCCAATCTGAGGGAGATAGAGGGAAGTGACATTTATTGATCGATATGAGCTGTTATTCCCTTTGGCCTTACAAGATAAGAAAACTCAGTCATGATAAATGTTTGCTGAACCCCTCGGGGTCACGCGGCGCTTAAGTGACTTCGAGCCAACTCGCTCGGGCCAGACTCGACTGCAGCCTCTGGCCCTCGATCCCTCTCCATCTGGAACAGCCCTTGTTCCCTTCCTTCTTGATCCCCCAGGAGTCACGACGAACTGCTCAAACGCAGGGCAGCTGCTCAGAGTGATGGTATGTAAGAGTAAACCGGCCCAGCCCACCCGGCAGATCTCTTGCACACGAACGCCAGGATGTTCTCATGCGCACGCGCGACCGCGCTTATGGGCTGGGCCGCAGCGTCAAGTCCCGCCCAACGGTCGCGCGCTTCCTTTTCCGACCAAAGGCGGGGCAGCGACGCCGGCAGGAAAGCCGGGCCAGCGGTGTTAGCTAGATACAACCGCGGGACATGGCAGGCTCAGGGAGCCTTGTCCTGCGTCCCTGGATTCGAGAACTGATTCTCGGGTTAGACGCACTATCAAATCCACGGCCCGGGCAGCTACTCGAGGTGAGTCCCCACCCAGGGCCGGGAGACCAGGGTGGAGGCCTAGGGTGGTGGGGTTGACGCCGGTCGCCGCTATCAGGTCCTGCAGGAGGCCGAGGCCCCGGGCCAGTCCGGCACTCGTGATGCGTCTGACGTCGGGGCAATGCTGCTTGTGTCTGATGGCACCCACAGTATCCGATGCTTGGTGACGCAGGAGGCCCTGGACAGTTCGGACTGGTGAGAGAGGCGCCGCGGGACTCCGGGACATTGGAGTCCAGCGGGAGTGCGTGAGGTTTGAGTACTAGGAGGGGGAGAGGCTTATGCCTCAGGAGGGTGGCGCTCACGTTCCAGTGGGATGAGTTAAGAGAGTCGTGCTCGCTACAGGGAGGAGAAGGAATTCGGCTTCTGTGGGACAGAAGGCCGACTGCTGCTGCTGCGGGACTGCGGGGTGCGCATCCAGGTCGCTGAAGGCGGCGCGGTGAGTGGTGAGGCTGGCATGGGCAGGCTACTGGGCCTGGCTGTTCGTGTCAGCTCCTGAGATCCGCCCCTGAACTCATTCCTCTAGCCCGCAGAGTTCTACCTCCAGGTGGACCGTTTCAGTCTGCTGCCCACAGAACAGCCCCGAGTACGGGTGTCTGGTTGGTAAGTGAAGCCTCCACCCTCCAACAGCTCTCCCCACCTCTCGCTAGCGTTGGCATAGGTCTTTAGGGTGGGATGCCTTGGTCCCCAGATCACATGACCCCCTACTACTGTCCTCTTTTCTCCAGCAACCAGGACTCGGATGTTCAGAGAAAGCTCTATGACTGCCTTGAGTGAGTCTGGGATTGGGTTCTGAGGCCAGTGTGGTCTGCTCAGGGGATCGCAGATCTGGGTAGATAGGCCTCAGAATGGCTCCTGAGGCCCATTTACTCTATTCCTGTAGGGAGCACCTTTCAGAGTCCACCTCTCCCAATGCAGGTACTGGTAGAGATTGACTAGTGGCCCTAATTCCCTATAGAGTGATTGCTCTAGCCTTAACCTTTGCTTTCCTACCCTTTACCCTACCCTTCCTTCTCTTTGAAATTAAAACCCATTCCCTGCCCCCAGGCCTATCACTATCCCAGCTTCTGGATGAGGTGCGGGAGGATCAGGAGCATCAGGCAGCACTAATGCACCTGGCTGAGAGCTGTCTGCAGCTGGCAGGCCCTTTTACAGCAGCCCCTCTCACCCGCTGGGCTGCCTTACGCTGTGGGGCCATGGTCAGTTTGGGGCTTTCCTTGGGAGATGTCAGGGTGAAGCATTGGGCAAAGGCTGGGCTGAGAGTTCATGTCCCACAGGGGGAAGCTGTTTACACTGTTCCCAGCTTACTACTGCACATATCTGAGAATGACCAGCTAATTCTGAGTTCTCTGGCCCCTGGTCAGAGGACACATGGTAAGGAGGACTGAGAAGATAAGTGGCGGGGGAGGGATACCTGAGGCCCGAGGTCCACAGTGCTGATAAACCTTCCCTGAACCCCCAGGCCCTGAGCTGCCCCCACCGGCACCAGCTCTGCAGGACCTATCTCTGACCTTGATCTCTCCTTCTTCCTCACCCAATTCCTCAGGTGAGGTGGTGCTGAGGCCACTGCTATCAGTCAGGTTCCTAGCTGCATGGTGTTATGAAATGGTGCACAGTGGGTGGGAGAGGAACACTGTCCCTGCAGTCCTACCCAAGCTCACAGGCTACTCAGCTGTCTGAGCTGAGTGGGCTGTGCTCACAGGGAAGCCCTTTCTCCCCAGGAACCCCTGCCTTATCCAGCCACATGCCAACAGAGGAAAGTGGTACCAGCATCAGTCTTCTGTCTTCCCTATCCACGGCTGTTCCAGACCCTGGACAGAAAGGCAGCTTCCAGCCCTTACCAGCCGTCTGCCCAGCCCAAGGCCCCCAGCCCCCCAGCCCCTCACACCCCAGCAGTTCATGCAGCTCCTCATTCCAGAGCTGCACCCCCAGTCTCTTGCCCCTTGGCCGTGTCCCCAGTTCACACCCGGCTCATATAACCAGGGCCAAGAAACCTACATTGGAGTTCAAGGAGCTGGGGTTGCCCCTCAAGAACAGGCAGCCTTCTCCAAGGACTACTGTCCCCAAAGATGTCCAGGACCTTTGCCCTGTCTGGGTGAGCATAGTCCTTCTACAACTAGAGAATAGAATGAGGAATGGGAAAGGCCTGGGGTAGAGCTGGGAGGGGAGAAGGGGTAGACTTGGGTGTGGGGCTGAAGGGTCCTTGTTAGTCCCTTCCCAGACAGCATACCCCTTTCAGGACCCCCCAAAGAGGCATCGTGATGGTTCTGCCTTCCAGTATGAGTATGGGCCACCCTGCACCTCCCTGTGTACCCAGGTCCAAGCTGCCAGGTGAGTGCCTGGGGCTGCTGCATTCTATTGGTCACCAGCCCCTGGCTACATTGACCTGCAGCTATGGTTTCTTCCCAGGCTTTCTCCCCAGCTCATAGCCTGGGCCTTGCACTTGCTGATGGAGCCACAGCCAGTATCTGAGCTGACTCAGGTGTGAGGGTCATGCGGGCACACTGGAGGATGTGCACACACAGATCCATGCCTGAGAGTGGACAAATAGTGCTGCACACTCTGCTTCCTTTGAGTTTTTTAATAAAATAATCTCATGCGGCAGGAGAAGATTAGGGGTTGGGGCCGCCGCCTCTTTGGTCTGTGGCTGGGGAGGGTGGGCTCCGCCCAGGGCTGGAGGGCTCTGTGGGCTGTGGGGGCAAAGACTCAATTCCAAGACCAGATCCTGTGAGGGGAAAAGGAGAAAGGAGGGTTGATTATGGCTGGGCTAAGTATTCTCGCCACCTATCCAAGTGTCCCTGACCCTCCTCTTACCTAGGCTTGGGGATGGGGGTGCCTCGAGCTTCGGTCTGCGTTTGAGGACAGGGGAGCGCTGTAGTCGCAGGGGCCGTTCTAAAGGACATAAAAAAAGACTTGGTAGTTTGCTAAGGGCTTGCTTTCTGGCCATGCCTGTCCCCTACATATCCCCTGTATCCTCTCATCCCTGACACTGTTGCTCCTTGGGAGGTGGAACCAGGGCTAGTAGGAGGGGCTTGTCAAACCCTTGTGTCTGGCCTGGGTCCGATTTTTCAAGCCCTCACACCACTGGTGGCCCTCTTCAAAGACCCAAGCCATCTAAGGAACCCTGGAAGCCCACCCTCCCCCTTCTCTTCCTGCACTCAAGCACACGTGGAGGTTTCTCCCTCACCAGCAGGGGCCTGGAGCTGATCCTCATGCACAGACACTGCTCGTCGCCCAGCCGAGAGAGGCCGCGGCCTCAGCTGGCCATCTGGGGGAGGCCAGGATATCAGGGGATGGTCTCAACAGCTGTCCCCACTCTAGCCCTTGCCTCCCACATTTCGGGTCCTCAGAGGGACCATGTTCCCAGAAGGAATTCCTCCAGTCTCTAGCCCAGGACTGGGGTAAGGAATCTCAGGTGCCTACCTACCTTCATCCCTGGGACCCAAGCAGGGCTCTTCTGGGAGGCCCAGACTGTCTGGGGAAGGGCTGGCTCTTCGGGGGCTTGGGCTTTGACAAGGGGAAGGGGGTCCTGGACCATCCTGTTGGCCCCAACCATGGCCCCTGATCTCTGCATTCAGCTGCTGCCCCAGTGTCTTCCAGGTGGTGGACTCAGGGCCCTGACCCCCTGGGCCAGGTCTACATGAGGGGTCTGAAGGAAAAAGAGTGTAAGCCATGACCAAGGCCAGGCCTTGGAGATGGGTCTGAGCAATGATCTGATCCCCTTCCACCTTTCCCTGCACCTCACCCCAGCACATAGCAGCCTCACTCACCGGCAGATACAGAGTGGGTGCGGGACTTGATTGAAATGGGAGGGGCCTCTGTGGAACTGTCCATGATGTCACCTGCAAGGCGGAGCTGGGGACTCAGGCACCAGACTTGGAAGTGAGGGGAAGGAAAACCTACCCTCTCTCCCTCCCCCAGAAGAGCAAGTACCTTGGGGACTATCTATGAGGACACCCCTCTCTTACAAAATATATGGCCCTACCCCAGGGTTCCACTTACCATCTGAGCCAGCTTTCTTGATCTCGCCATCTTTGCTCTGTAGGAAACAGGGCAATCAGATTCCAATGACCCTCCTACCAGCCTTGCCCAAAAACACAAGAAGATTCTTGTTCTTATAACCCAACAGAAAGCCCATAGTACACTGGGTAGGAAAATGGCAAACTCTTAGAACTCAGTCTGGGCTGGTGGACAGCTGGCACACAGAAACATCCATATGCCCGCACATTCATAGATGTATAGATAATGTGATTTCCTAATTCTGTGATGCACTTCCCACACTTTAATGTTTCTAAATTCAGGCTCAGTCTCACTTCATATGTGTTTTTCCTGAAAAGCTATCAAATGGATGGTACATAGGGCTGTGGTTCTTAGTGGAGATTGTGATCAGAGAGTAACAGCAGGGTGGCCATGGAAGGGAGTCAAGAAAGGCCCACAGAGAACTGCGGAGATGGCTGAGGAGGAACCTGGTGTGACCCATGATGCAGGGCAGGGAGGAGAATGTAGAGGATCTGATTTGTACCCAAGCGAAGAGGGCAGTGAGGGTTATGATCAGGGCTGAGACACCCATATGGTTTGAAGCAGAGTTAGGAGTCTAAACGGCAAGTCCTTCAGGGGCTTCATCCCAAAACACTGTCTAAAGTACAGGTGACAAGGTCAGATTCCTGTTAGGCCTGCAGAGGAAGGACTTTGCCAGGTCCAAGGAGGTGTTATCAGTGGGCAGAAGCCAAGAAGAAAGGTTGAATCTAAATCTGATGATTTTGAGGGGAGAGAATAGAACTATGTGCCATGAGTCTCCTCCCTTCTCGTTGCCTACGTCACCCACAGACTGCCACGTGCCACCTGCCCCCTCACTTTACACTTGTGTCCTCCCAACTTACTTGCTTCCTCTTGCCTTCGGCACCCCCACTGGTTCGGCTTACTCCTATCCTCTGCAGCATCACTTGTACCCGCTGTTCAAAGGATGGAGCCAGCTCTGTGTCTCCCCGCTCCAGGGGTCGCCGCTAGGGACAGAGAAGCCTGAGTAGGAGAGAGCCTACTGCCTGCCCTGGCTTCCAGAAGAGCCCTCATCTTGTCACTAGGCCTACCTTGTCGGGTCTGGCACCCAGTGTTGCCTCCTCCTCCTCAGCAGGTAGCAGGATCATGGAGTAGGCCTTGCTATCCCTTGTGTAGCGAGGCCGACTCCTGCGGGCAGGATCAGGGCTGCTGGTGCCTCCCTCAGCCCCACCAGGCTCCTCACTACGGCTGGGACGGGTTGGTGGCCGCAGCAGGTCGCCAAGTGTGGTTTTCCGGGTGCGGGGAGCTGCCACAGGGCTAGTCTCTAGATCAGGCCGTGGGCCCCGTGTTGAACGAGGTTTCTTGAAGGCAAAAAGTGTGCCCAGCTTCTTTCGCAGTGTACGGGGCACAGGAGCAGTACCCCCCTCAGTGGCCGGGTCCTCCTCGGGGGCCCAGCTGTGGGGATAACCAGCAATGAGTAAAAAAGGCCATGGGGCATCCCACCCTCACCCACCCCCTGCAACTGCCCCTCACTCACAGGCGATCCTGCTGGATCAGCCTTTTAGAGAAGAATTCCTCCACGCCCTCGTCCACGCGGGCACTGAGCCCATTCCCTTCCTGCGGCAAGGCTGGGGGCACCTGAGGGACACCATGGGGTCAAGGCTGAATGCAACTGTGGCTTCTCCCCCGTCCCTGTATAGCAGCCTGGCCTAGGTGACTCCAGAATCCTGGAGCTGGGGTGACCTTAGAGGGCTGCTGATAAAAGCCCTCCTGCTGTCCAGCTACTGGGCAGAGATGCTGGATTTCCCACACTCCATCACCGGCTGCTGGCTTCAGCTCACACCCAGCCCACACGGTTCTTGTCCCACAGTATCCTCCATGCTCTGAACCACCTGGTCACCAGCAGGCTGGCACCCACTAACCCCCAGGGTCTCACGTTCCCACCTGCCACCCCTTCTGCTCCAAACAGTTCCCTGCAGTACCCCATACCCCACCCCCACTCCACCCTGCCTGCTGCCGGCTCAGTGGCGCCGGCTGCTGCGTCAGACCCTCTGGGGGACCTCAAGCCTGCTCCCCCTTCACTCCCCCCACTCCTGTTCCACCAGTGCCCCCTGCCCAGTCAGTACCCAGCTCACATACATCTCTCCACACACACACCCGCCAGATGTGCGGTGGACACAGGATTGTCCCTACCACCGCCCGGCTGCCCAGAATCTTTCAGTAACCGTGGGGAAGGCAGGGCAAGACGGACACCCTCTTGCGCCCAGCCACTGATGCAATGGGCCACCCCATGGCAGTGTTCTACACCCAAGGCGCACCCCGAAGGAAACCCACACACCTATAGCTCTGCATGGGCATAACCTGGGGTGTGGGATAGCCAGAAAGAAGCCAGGATATGACTACAGTAGCACGACCAGATGGCCTTGTGCTCTCACAACCCACCTCCCCTGACCGTCATCACCCTTGAGGAGCGACCGGGCCGTCCACAGCCCCCAATCCCACATACTCTAGAGTGGGGGGAGGACGCTTACCTGCGGGCCCCCCGGCGGCGGACGGTGGTGGTACTGGCGGCGCGGCCGCGGCCGGGCCCGGGTTGGATGGCGCAGGGGCTGTCCAGCGGGTGGCAGGTCCATGCGAGGCAGCGCGCCGGCCGGGGGGCCGGGGGCGGCAGGGCTCGGAGAGCCGCGTGCGGAAGGCCCCGCCTGCGGCTCCGCATCTTCCCCCGGAGCCGCCAGCTCGGGCTCCGGTTCCTCAGCAGCACCTGAGGGGAGAGCACCAGAAGAGCGCCGAGCGCCAGGGAGGTGGCGGCAGAGGCGCTAGGGCGGCGGGGGACCCGCCCAGGGCGCGGGGAGGGGCCCGGCTACACCGCCCGCCCCCCGCCCCTCCCCCCGCCGCTGTCCGTGGTGCTGAGCGCGGCCCCGAGCGCGCGCGGCTGCCAAGCATGCGCGTCCTGGGGGCAGGGAAAGGGGCGGGGGAGGCGAGCGGAGGTGTCCTGGCTGTAGTCTGCTCAGGTCCCGCGCCATGCTGACCACAGCAGACCTCAGCTTTGCAGGTTGCACAGGGAGCCTGGCTTGGCCCAGAGAAGGGTTAGAGAGTGCCTGGGGCAAGGGTGAATGTGTCCAGGTTCCTTCCTCCAAGGCCTTGACTTACTGTGAATGGATGAGACCAGGTGAAAACCGTGGCTGGGTTCAGGCCATTTCCCAGAAGGACTGTCATCCTGGTGGGGAGGGCACAAACTCAGCCTGGAGTAGGGGAGCACAACCCCAGAAGAGATGCATTTCACCACTACACTCCAGAGCCAGAAGAGAACAATTAAAATTCTGGGCCCAGAGTTCTGGGACCACTTACCTTCTCCTTCTTTCGTTCCTTCTCCATATCCTCCTCCTCCTTCTCTTCAGGGAAGACAAAACTTTCTAATTCCCCAGGTCCAAGGGAGATAGGCTCACCTCCATCCAGTGTGGGCAGGGTAGAGGGCATTGCCACTGCTGCCTGCTGAGCCAGACTCTCCACCTGTAATACCAGGCAGCCAAAGATGGGCAGACAGGGCCTCAGCCATGATCCCATTGGTGCTAAGGGAACCCAGAAATAGCCCTGGGCTACATGACCCCAGAAGACATTACAGAGTCCACGCGAGACAGCCAGGACACTCTGTGTGTGGGTGTGTGTACACACACACAGCTCCCCCTCACCAGCCGGTCCCGAGCTGCACTCAGAGCTGCCAGAGCCTGAGCCACAATGCTCTCTGCCAAGGTCCCTGTGACTGACAGCCGCATGTCCCTGAGGGTAGGAGAGGACAAAGATTAATGGGCTGGCTTGGCTCTGCCCAGCCCTGCCCAACCCAGCTCCATCCAGCTTACCTGAGCCTAGTAAAGGCATTTTGTAGCAGCTGTTCTGGCAGCAGCTCTGGGAAGCCCCTGGAGCCCACCAGGGCCCCCTCTAGCTGCTCCCTCCAGCCAGATCCCTGCAGTATCTGTGGGCAGAGGCTCCTTGTTGTGTCCAGTGTGACCTGAGTGAAGTTCTGAGCAATGGTCAGAGCATGGTGAGTGTATAGCCAGGGCTCAGGCCACTTGGCTTGAGGCTCTCACCCCTACAGAATGTTAACTCAGGCTATCACAGTCAGGCCTAAGGGATATGGGTCAAGCCTGGCACATGGAGGTGGGACTGGGGCAGGAAAACCATCTCACCTGAATGTCTTGGCGGCAGACTTCACCCACCTGTCCAAGAAGACCCTCCAGCTTCTGCCGAAGCTGCCAGTGATGGCTTGGGGAGCTCCCAGCCTCATAGAGAATGGGGAGAATCTGAGGGCAAAGGAAGAAAAGGAGTTTCTAATTGATCAGATTACGTGGGGGAGAGTTGTCATGTGGGAGGGGAGTGCTTACACTGAGAGAGAAGTTGGCATTTTGGATGGCATCCTCAGCTTGGTGCACAGCAGCTTCACCCTGGGGCCCAGCCTCACAGCCCAGCAGCTCCATGTGCTCCTGCACCGACTGACACAGTTCGTTCACTTCCTGAGGAGCAGCAGGAATCAGTCTCAGCATGATCCCTTAACAGTCACACTGACCCTGCTCACCTTCCTCCCAGGGTCTGATGGGGCGAGTGACATCCTGAAGCTGGCACTATGAGGCCAGCTACTTAGCAACTCTATCTGTTCACAGAGAGAGAGAGAGAGCAGTGTCTCTTCCGTTGGTTCACATTAGGGACATTATACAGAGTGGCCATAAAGTTCATGTGGAATTTAAAATAGCTTACTATTTAAATTGAATATGAACTTTATGGCCACCCTGTATATACTCCTTAGTGCCCAGAGTAGAAAGGAGCTGTAAGTCTTGTCTCTGCTTTAGAAGCTTAGTCTGTCCACTATCTAGGCAGAGGATGAACTGGGGGTGGCAAGAAATGGGAGGCAGTAGCCATGGAGGAAGGACGAGAGGGAGCAGGGATATCTGGAGGTAGGGTGGGGGAGGTGCACATTTGAGAGTTGGTCTAGAGGCAGGACCAAAGAGGGCTGTGAGGGTTCCCGTGTGACCAGGAGTGACGTAGAAGAATGCCCAAACCTCTGTCCATAGCATTTGGTAGCTGTGGGCATCAGGGAGATTGGCTGGGCTCCAGGGTAAAGAATGGGGTTTATGGGAAATGCTGAGATCACTTGAAGATATGTCAAGTGTGAAGCCCTGCAGGATGTCTGGGTTTTGAGAAAAAACCCAAACAGCTAATGCAATTCTAGTCTGTAGTGATCAAAACGGCATGGTATTGGCATAAAACTAGACACATAGATGTCTGGAAAAGAATAGAGAACCCAGAGAGGAAACCAGCCTCATATAGCCAATCTAATCTTTGAGAAAGCAAACAAAAGCATTCACTGGGAGAAAGAATCCCTGTTTACTAAATGGTGCTGGAAGAACTGGTTAGCCAGATGTTAAGAAAGTGAAACTGGACCCCATACTTCTCATCACTTTCAAAAATTAACTTGTGATGGATAAAAGACACAAGAATAGAAGACACAAAACTTTAATAAAAACCCTCAACGATAGTATGGGAAAACTTTTTTTTTTTTTGAGACAGAGTCTGACCATGTTGCCTGTGGTAAGAGTGCCATGGCATCATAGCTCACAACCACCTCAAACTCCTGGGCTTAAACTATTCTCTTGGCTCGGCGCCTATAGCTCAACTGGCTAAGGCGCCAGCCACGTACACCTAAGGTGGC